CCAGATGGACAGGAAATTTCGATTGATGAGGGTATGATTAGATCAAGGGACGGTCCAAGTTCAAGCAGAGATTGCCCCACAAACCTGACCGTGATGGCTTCAAAAATATGGCAGGTGTGCGACTTGACAACGTCTTACATTGCAAACTTTGAACCATATTTGGGGGTGAAATATAAAACTACAATTGAGGGGAGAAGGAAAGAAACTGGGACAATCAAAGAAGACAACACACCGGTTGCTACAGCCCTTCCAGAAAAAAACCATATTTTTTTCTGTGATTCGCTTTTTACGTCAGTTAACACAGCCCTTGAATTACAAGACAAAAAAGTGTACATGGTCGGTAGTTTTAGCAGACGAAATCGGAAAACCATGCCGCCGCAATTAATTCCTGAGGGGAAAAGCAAGAAGCTGAAATTGAAAATTGGTGAAATGAAAGCAGCAACTAGACCGGACAACACTATCAATATTACTGCATACCAGGATGACAGTGCGCAAATATTGATTTTAAATACAGTCTATCCCCCACTGGCTACGTCGGCAGAAGCAGTAGATGACGAGAGACACGTGCCTGTATCGTTACAATGTTACAGACATCACATGGGTGGCGTGGATCGTTCTAACCAAAGGCGAAAATACTATCACACGGGCAGAAAAAACAATCGTTGGTGGATCTACATGGCCTGTTACCTCATAGATGTTGCATTGGTCAATGCTTATGAATGTTTCAAGGCATTGAATCGCACGACAAAAGTAACGCACAAATTCTTCAATATCCGCACAGGTAAACAACTGATTGGTGGACACTCGAGTAGAATTCAAAAATCCATAAGAGAAGTTGGCTCTCTTCCAAGTAACACGTCATTTATTCGTAGTGAAAACATGGATTCGCACGAAATATGCAGACTATCCGGGCGTCAAAAATCGTGTAAGCAGTGCAGCAAGGACGGGAGAAAAACTGCGAGTGGCCGATTATCAGAAACATCAAAAGGATGCCCAATTTGTAAAGTTCACCTTCACGCGGGCGAATGTTTCGCTGCTTTTCATCACAACATGGCACTGAGGGGAAAACGCACCGTGGGAACACAAACACGAAGTACAGAAGAGCAGCCCTCGACATCAGGCAGACGCATGGGAGCAGCCCGCCGGGGTGGACGACTAAGAAAGGCGTACAACAAATAAATTTGAGACTTATTACAGCGTCACGAACTGTACAATAGTTTGAGTTGGTGAAAATACGTTATTGTTAATTTAGTTTCATGCTCAGTCGGTATTTATACGTTTTAATGTCAGGATAGTTCATCGGGTCTAGTCGGTGGAAATACGTTTCTGCGTGAGTATATATACACGCCAAGTCCCTGCAGTTACGTTCTCGCTAGTTCGTTTTATTTCAAGTCGTTAAATATACGTTGAAATATTTAGTTGGTTAATGTGGTCATGTCGGTGAATATACGTTACCGTGTGAAGGTAACCCCGATCAAGTCGTTGCAGTTACGTTCTCGTTCGTTTCAGTCTCAGTTTGAGTCGTTAAATATACGTTGTAAGTGTGGACTTACTCATACGGTCAAGTCGGTTAATATACGTTAGAGCTTGAATATAACATCAGTTAAGTCACGGAAAGTACGTTGTAATATGTTACACATGTAGTTCAAGTCGTTGAATATACGTTGCAATTTGAAATGTACGCTAACGGGTCGAGTACGTCAAACACGTTTTCCCTCGTACATGTCCCAAATATCCCCATACTCACTTGCATTCATGTAGTGACCTTGTACTTGCTTGTAATGTGTTTTCAATTAAGCAATATTTATTTCAATGTTTAACACGTGTTTATTGAGACTGTACAAAGGGCAAAACATCGTTACTTAACGACAGTAAAAAATGTGTATTGAAATAAAACGGTGATTTTTTTTATACGAGAAATTGTTGTCCATGGTGGTAATGAAGTGTGTATGCAAACAGATTGCAAAAAATGTGAAAACTGTGGTCGATACAGTCTGTTAACTATGGCCTATTTTTGCAAAAAATGTCTGGCAGGATAGCATGCTCAGATGCTGGCTACTGGAGTGCATTGAATCATGACCGTTTTTCAACGACTTAACCTGATAGCGTGAAACTCCCCTGACCGGAAAAGGGTTAAAGAATTCAGTTCTGGATCCGTATCCGAGACATGTCTGGATTGATCAAGTTCAAACTTCACACACACAAGGTACATCATGTCACAAATATGTATGTGCATTTGTTTCATGATCTCATTAACGATAGCCAAATGGGGGCCGCTTTAAGGCCGAAAATGCATTGAAATCGCACATTTTCACCATTCCGGACCCGTATCTCAGTTATGCATCGATGGATTTTGTTCAAATTTGGTACATACATTAAACATAATAGGACCTTGATGCACGTCTTTTTTTTTCGGATCAAGTTTGAAATGGCCGACTGGCGGCCATTTTGTTAAAGAATTCAGTTCTGGATTCGTATCCCAGACATGTCTGGATTGATCAAGTTCAAACTTCACACACACATGGTACATCATGTCACAAATAGATATGTGCATTTGTTTCATGATCTGCTTAACAATAGCGGAATGATGGCCATTTTAAGCCGAAAATGCATCAAAATCACGTATTTTCACAATTCCAGAACCGGATCTCAGTCATGCATGGATGGATTTTGTTC